GGGGTGGGGGGCGGGAGGACCATATGCCTGGGGCGAGCCTCCCCTAACAACCCCCCCCCCAACCCGGAAGGGTCAGATAAATACGCAAGTGTGCAAGTGGAAAGATCCCCGAGGATAAACAGTTGGAAGGAGCAAGGATTTATCTTCCCATAGGGGGGAAGGGGGTGAAGGGACGAGTAAATTCAGAAGACAGGAAGGGAAGAATTTCCCAGGTAAGAATCTTCTCATGAAAATGTATCTTTCATTTTCTGTATCATCCAGCCAGACTTAAGATGGGAAAAAGAGATGATATAGACGCTTAATCACAAAGAGAAACCAGCCCTGTTCTGAGAAATATCTGTATTTTAACAGCTGCAGCTCGTTTTCTTTGGTAGCCACAGGCTGTGGGTTTCACAATAACCTGGCCTCTACCTTTGCATTGACATCGCTGTCTTCTTCTTGGGGAGGGGGTGGGAAGACATCTGGTCATGTGGTCTCCCCTCAGTCCCCTTTCTTCTACAAAAGCCCTCTTCCTCCATGCTCGCTTGGGGAACCATATGCAGATTGCTTCCTTTTGCTCTCCAGGACTTGGGCAATTTTGAGCACCTTGATTTGCGACTCCTTGATTTACGAGACCTTGACTCCAGGTTCCACGCCCTGGTGCTTATGTCCAGAGAGAGGGGGTCAGAGTGCAGACAGAGCGACCTTTGGGTTAGTCCCTGTAGACGTCAAAAAACAAACTGGTATTTTTTGAAACTTTTACTTAGAGATGGGTAGTGGGCAACTAATTGAAGGGGTGGCGTTTTAACTTTGATGAATACTTGATTGAGCTTTGTCCTGGAATTCTCCTACTGAGAACCTCGCTGTCAGTTCTTGTAACACTCAGCCCCAGGGGAGGCAAAGTGTCCTACTCGAGGTTTCCTTTTCCCATTTCGCTTAGGAAGCAACCTCGTCTTCCCCCACCCATCAGAGACCCAGGCCCAATCTGGGCTCTGGCCCAGCCTGGAAGGGGCTGCGGGCAAAGCTGCGTTCAGCGTCTTCTTGCACGCGGGAGGAAAGGACACCACGTCT